AATGTGGGGCCCATGCTCAGGTTGTGTCTGAGCCTCAGGAAGGCAAATAGTCCTAGAGGTGTTATGCTGAGACCCAGAATGAATTTAACACCCACCTGTGGGTACTGCCCCTTGCAGCACCAGCCGTGCTGGGACCCACCAGCAGAGAGCCAGCATATGGTAGAAATTTCAAAAGGACATCAAAGGGAGCTCAAAGGGACCTCCAAGTTACTCTGTAGGCTCATTGCTGCATCAGCCCCTCAGCATGTTGTTTCTCTGTCTACCTCAGCACAGAGTCTGAGCTGTTTTACATGGGAGAAAAGCCATTGCTCCTCCAGCCAGCCAGTACTGGAGAGGTTTTAGGGCCTCAGCCTGTCCCAAAATACTTACGTAGGAAGGAGGATCCTGCCAGGCTTCCCATTTTTCGCACATCATTTTCTGAAACAACAATTGGAGGTGTGGGAATAGTGGAAGAAGGGCTCCTGCCCCATGCCCCAAAGCAGGGCCACCCCGCCCCATGGCCAGCCCCTTCTCCTGGCACCAGCTGGTTCAGCCTCCATGGATGCTGCCGAAGCAAAGGAAGAGGGAGCCCACAGAGGCCTCACCTGAGGAGACAACAGCCATGATGGCAGGGACCCCATAGTAGGTGAATGCCCCATTCTCAAACCGCAGTCCTTCCTTGCCGACCTCCACCTGCACTTTCCCCTGGAAGGAGGAGGAAAACCCTCTCAGAGAAGCACCCCGTGCTCCTGACCCACCCCGGGCTGCAGGGACCCCTGCCGTCCCATACAAAAGGATGGGCATCTTTGCTGACAGAAGCAGCTTAGAACAAGGTGGCAAGGAGTAAACAGGGCCACATCCTGCCACCCTCTGCTTGCTGCTTTCCCAGGCACCTGCAGGATGAGGACAAAGTAGTCGACAGGGCGGTTGCGCTGGTAGAGGTAATGCTCTGCTGCCTTCTTGTTCTTTCGGTCGTACTTGAGCTCCTGGATGACATTGGGGTGTTTCAAGAGCCGCAGCAGGATCTTCTCAGAGAGGTAGGGGGACTTGAAAGGCTCCACTTCTAGAAGGGAGGCAATGCACACATGCTGTGCTCAGCAGGCCAGGACTGCTGGGAACCCCTCATGCTCTGAGCTGCACAGCCCTGCTCCTGCAGCCTAAGCACCCACTGCCAGGAGGGGAGCCAAATGCAGACCCGCACTGGTAGGGCAGAGGAATGCCCAGGCTGTAGGTCCAGCAGGTGGAAATTGCTCAGTGGTGAGGAGGTCAACCCAGGAATGGCTTAGGGATGCCCTGTGGGGCTGGTGCTGCAGGGCTTGCACAAGGGCAAGTGTACCTGTTGCCATGAACCGATGGGTAGCCAGGAGGAGCTGCGGGGAGATCTTCACCTTCATCTCACTCTCTGAGAGCCTGAAGATGGAGAAATCCTGGGGCTTGCGTCCCCGGTGGGGAACTCGCTCCTTCTTCCGATTGTCAGCTGCAGGCAGAGCAGAGCGGTCACTCCCCTGCAGCAGCCACAGAGCTGCTGCAGCTGCAGGGCCCCACATCACATGCACACGTATGGACAGGCGTGTCTGGCTGCACCCTATGGCAGGGCTGCTGGGGAGCAGCAGATGGAGCAGTGGGGCACATACAACCTGCTGTGCATGCAGCCTTGGGAGCAGCTCCCAGGGCAGGGAGCAGGACTGTACACTTGTTCCTTAAAAACAAGCTGTGGGTTCTCCAGGCTGGATGCATCGCCCAGAGTTGCAAATGAGCTTGGGAACCACCCATTTCGTGCCCAGCATAGATGTTCCTGGCCCTGCCCAGCCACCCACTGCTGATGCTGGTACTTCTCTATCTTGAGCATCCAAGATAGGGACACTTGACCAGCATCTCTCCCTCATTCTTGTCTTTCCCATCACAACAGCAAATCACTCTGGGGAAGGACCACAATTTGCTCTGGCCTGTTTCCTACCCACATCTGTCTGTCTGTGCAGGCTCCCACCCTGGCTCCTGCAACTGCAGTAGCTGCTCTGGGACACTAACTGTACAGATCCGTCTCATCCAGAATCTCGGACTTGATGATCTCCTCAATGACATCTTCCAGGGTGACAATGCCCATCACCTCGTAGAACGGGTCTCCTTCCCCTTCATTGTTCACCCGCTGCACGATGGCCAGGTGGGACTTTCCTGCAGGGGAAAAGCAGAGTGCCAGTGAGACACCTGGCCCGGTGATCCTGAGAGCGGTTCCCAGCGTGGTGGGCAGGGTTTGGTGGGAGGCACTGTCATCCAAACCCACCCAAGTGTGCTAACCCAAGGAGAAGGGCTGGACATGCAGCCCAGCCTAACAGGGCAGCAGCTGTCCAGACTTGTACATGTAGGCTCTTTTTTGGGGCTACCTTCCCTCTTTATCGAGGCTATGAGTCACTCTGCTCAGCTCTTTGAAAGCCTCCTGTGCAGGAATGAAGCGTAAATTATACCATCTCCTTACCCTCAGCTTCACTGGCATGAAACAACTCTTAACAGAGCAATGAGACAATGTTCTCCAACACAGAAATGTGAATGTGTCCTTGGCTCTACTGATTTCCCATATCCTCCTGGTGTTTTCTTATCCTATTGCTAATTATCTTTCCTATTAAATTGCCAGGAACAGCTCCCCCTCATCTTTCTATCACTACATAGACCAGTACTAAGGTTTTTTGTAAAATACGGGCAAAATTTCCATCTCTTTGAAACAGCAGCTGGTTTTTATGCAGAAATACAAATGTTTGTTTGCAGGTTTCAGCCTACCTCCTACAGAACTCTTGGGTGAACCAACTGGATGCAGACACTGAACACTTTTCAACCCATCAGCTTGCACCTGAAATTCTTCTCCAAGTCCTGCCCTTGACAGCATCTTCTCTATGTTACCTTAAACAAGCAGACTGAGTCCAGGACCTTCAGCTTCAATGATGTTGACTCCTGCTTGGAAGTTCCAGTGTTCCTGGATCACAGTTTCAGTTTCCTCACTTGTCCCTTGTAAGCTGGCAGTTCTGCTCACACATTCTCAAGTTTCTTGGTTTTGGCATACTTGAAACATTTCTATTTGTTTTTGCATGTCCAGCTCTCTGTAAGCTGTTTTGACTTCTTCAGCCTCTCCCTTCCTTTACTGGCTGCTCTGATTTATGGTCCTGCTCAGCATCTTGACCGGAACCCAGCTGCCAAACCACAAACAACTTCTGGGTTTCTAGCTCCAGCATGTCCTTGGACCTGCCACTCAACAGCACTGAGTCTGGCTCCCACACTGCCCAGCAGTGCACACAGATTCTGAACCTCTAGTTTTACTTACAAGCACCCTCACTGGCACCACAGCCAAAAACTTTGCCCCCTCTGCTTGCTCTGCATCCCTGGGGTCTCTTGTTGCAATGCCTGCATAAACCCAAAGTGCTGCAGCCACCTCTGGGAAGCTGCTAACACCTCATTTTCCCCATGGGCTCGGAGCTGAGCTCCTTGAGCAGCAATGGTCACCCAAAACAGGGGCAGGTCCTCTCTGCTGTGCAGCTGCCTCGCATCCACTCCTCCCATAAGCCCGTCCCAACAAGCTCTCCTGCTGCTCCCCACAAGGGATGTGAGCAGCATTCATGCATAAAGATGTGGCAGGGTGGGCTCCTGCCTGGTGCACAGCTCCTGCCTTACCCGCAGAGGCGCAGGGACAAGCACACCCAGAGCAGCCTGGCAGTGCCACAAACACGTCTTGCTGGGGATCAGGCGACCTTCAAATAACCCTGCCCTGGATCTGAGACGAGCAGATGACATTTCTCAGCTGAAGATCAGCACTATACATTTCTCATAGCACATCTTGGGCATTTTCCACAGTATAAATTCCCTCCTCCTCATACCAAGCTTTTATTGCAAGATTTCAGAGAGCAGCTCGCTGCCTCCCACGCCTACAGATTTAGAAATGAGAACATAATATTGCAGCAAGTAGCACTGAGATTTACTTTAAAAAACCAAATCAATAGCCCTAGGGCACTGAAAATTCAGCATGTTCTTTAGACTGGGCTATTTCACTCCTCTCATGCATAGGTTTGTGCATCTTTTTTGTTCAGTGGGTAATAAAGCAACACAGCACTTAAGAAGAAAAAAGCAGAGGAGCTGGCTGCAAGACAGCAGCGACAGCTATGTTTCATCTTAGCAAAGTCCAGCTTTTGAAAAGGTCTCCTTTGCCAAACTCTGCTCCCAAACACTGGGGCCATCTGGTCTCCTACAAGTCCTTGTGTGAGCGAGGAGGGGGAAAAAGTTATTTCTTTTGGCCGAGAGCTTGTTGTTAATGACATTTACATGCAACCCAAAACCACCAAGCCCTTACAAAAAGCTTAGGTGCTACTTAAAGGCAGTCAGAGAGTGATGGAGGCAATTCTTTTTTTGGCCAAACACCTACCTCGACACTGCAATTTACACTAGAAATGTGATTCAAGCTCCATGTTCACATAGCTGCAAATGAGATTATTTAGAAATATCCCACCACCATTAGCCTGGAAGGAGACCCATGGTTTCACTGCACTGGGGGCAGAGCCAGTAGGGCTGTTAGAGCACTCCAGAGTTCTTTATTTTCACAGAAAATAAACACTTGTATTCACACTCCAAACCCCCAGGTTCGTGTTTCCAGGCTAATACCCACACTAAAGCAGGTATCAAACAACAGAAAATTGTTGCAGGTCAGTGTGGCTGCTGAGAGAGCTGATCCCAGCCCATGGCTGGCCAGCTGGTATCCATGTCACAAAAAGCCCTGAATGCCAGCCAGTCCCGGTCCTTTAAGTGCATGCTGCTCGCAGCTGCTCCCCTCTGGGAGAGGGCTGACGTGCTCCTATTTCCCACCTGAGGGACATGAGATCATTCACAAGGTTGTGCCCCACCCCCCTGACCTGACTGGGTCCTGGATCTCCTCCCATCAGCTTTTTAACAGACCCCATACATTCTGGTGGAGGGTTTGCAGGTGCTTTGGCTGTGTGCTCATGGCTTGTTCCCTCCTGGGCAACGCTGCCAAGCTCAGCTAGGTCCCTCTGCCCAGCCCTGGGAGCTGCTGCACTTGCAGGGCAGGAAAAGCAGTGGCCTTTAGAGCATGTACAAGGGCAGAGGCTGGGCAATGAGATGGAATCAGTGCCTAAGGAGGGTGGCATAGGGACAGACCTGGGGACACGTGAGGGGTCACGTTTGCCTCTACAGCCATTATCCAGCAGGTCAGTCTCAGTGGGAGCACAACAAAGGGAGGTAAATCATTTAAACAAACCCCCAAACTTGATCTCAAACAGCTTTAAGATCTGTAAAATTGATTCCAAAACCCGTGCTATTGTAACCACTGCTTGATAGCTCAAATGAGATGAATTATAAGGGTGAGCTGCTTCCCCACTAGCAAGCTGTCACATGTAAACTTTACAGGGCTATTGCTGATCCAGGAAAGCACAGTGAAACACTTGAGAATCAAAGGCTTGGTTTGGCAAATGCTAGAACAAATGGGCAATTAACTTTCCTTGTGCGAGCAGCTCTGCCGGCCTCCGCAGGACTGCTCTCGCACAGGAAGTCTATAGGTGATTAAGTGTCTGCTCAGCATGGGATACAACTGCACTAAATTCTTTATGAGCTACATGAAATCTGCTCTTTTCAAACAACAGCTTCAGTGGAAAGTTAATGCCTCAAAATGCTAAATTACAGAGCTAATATAAACAGCTGAGAGCTTCCAGATGGAGCAAGCATCTGAACAGATATCCAAAGCTTTTATGCCCATTTTTTAGGAGCTTTGTTTTTCATAGGCACCTAAATGACCTTGGGCTCATAGATCCACCTCAAAGCATCTTTCCCAACGAGGGAATGGGGTCTGAACATATGGAAATGCCTTGACTTCTGGGAAAGAAAGTGCTGTTGGGTTCAAATATAGCCCAGACTACTTCTTTATAATTTTTTTATACATGTACCCTGCCAGAGGAATGAGGAATGTCAAAGATGCTTTAGCCTCGTCTCTTGTTCCACAGGATGAACATTCTGAGCATGAAATTCATTTTCATAAATTTTTATGGTAAGATCTGAAGCTATTATTGGGAGATCAAAGGTACAGGCACAGACCTGTGTCTGAACCCTTTGCAGCTACAAAATGGAAGGGAAAAAAGAGAGTAATTTTAAAATAATGTTGATTTGTGAAACAACCATGATGTAACTGCAATCTATTTTCTGTGTGCTTTTCTTCAGAGCTCTTCACAGGAGCTGTCAGCATCTCTGTGCCCTCTTGCTGACCTTCATCTGAAGAAAATGGGGACCCTGATTTGAACACCTTGAACTGGAAATGTGCGTGAGTGTGATCCTGTGTTACCACAGCTCTGCACCATGGGTGAAAGCACACATTGTGTCTAGAGGAAATGCCATCTAAGCAGGGGGGAAAAAAACAAGAGGGCTGCAGGGCCACGCAGCTCTACAGGAATAAGAGCTATGTAAAGGAAAAGCTGTAAATCCTAACCTAACTCAGACCTTTCTCAGAGACAGAAACTTCACCTGCTTACATCTGTTTGTAGCCCTCCCCATATTCTCTTTTTGTGCTTTTCCTAATCCTAAGGAAAACTGTAAAAAAGATGGAACATTTGGAATAGCTCACCTATTACCATTGGAGATCAGGAAGGTAAGGAGAAGATTAGAGTGGACACAGAACCTCATCTTCTATCTCTTGTGCAACAGGATCCTGACCTCCTGGGTACCCAACAGCTCAGGGAGAAGGTGCCTTTTACAGCTATGAAGAGGGAAGTGGATGGCAGGGTGCCCTCTCCCCCAAGGACTTGGCTCCCTTCTGGCTTTGCTGAATGCTTGCCCAGAGCAGGCCCAATCCTGGGATTATTGGGGTGGGGTAGAGCAGTCCAGGGTTTACACAGCAAGATTTACCACAGTTTAGTGGGGAAAGCACAGTAATGTTTCAGGCAGAACTGCAGCATGAGACATTGAGACCATTTTTTTGTCTATCAGCAGCTCACTTGATCTCAGCCTGGCAGTCACATTCCAGGGGACGTGTAGGTGATAGCTCCTGGGAAAAACTGGCTCCTTAACCCATACAACTGCCTTGGGAGGTCATTGCCTCAGCTCATCAAGATGCCCAACAGAGTGACTAAAAAACACTTGCAGAGATCTTTTGAAGGCTGAGTTAATTTTGAAGCAACACTGTGTGCTTACAATGCCTGTGGGATCAGAAAGATGGTACAAAAAGCATCTGAAATGGTACTGACCCCAATTCCTGGCAAATGTAAGCACCTTCTCCAGCTACATTCAATTTGCAGAAGTCTAATAGAGGCTGTGGAGCATTTTGAAATGTAAAGACAGACCCTAGGGCAGAGCTATCCTCCACAGGACAGGTTGTTTTCCCTGCAAAGCCTGAAATTTGGGGTTTGGAGAATTTATTTTTAGTAACTCTTAAAAGATGCCAAACCACAGAAGGCTAATTTGAGTTGCAGCTCAGGCTCTGCCCTGCTGCAGGAAAATGAACATTAAGAGAACATTTCTACTGTTCCTCTGACAAAGGAAAGTTACTTGCTGAAAGGTGCCAATGCTGTATACAGACCCTTCCAGGAAATCAGTCAACAAAACCCATAAACAACTTGAGGAAGGGACAAGACTGTGACTTCCAGAGGCACTACATAACAAGGAGGTGGACCTCACAGAGGTTTCCAGGAGGAGTTATATCACTGGTCTGGAGCTGCAACATGCATTGCTTGGTTATCTTTAAGAAAGGAGGAGAAACAGATTGTATCACCCACAACATTTCACGCTGAATAAATGCATAAAGACTTCCTCATAGCTCCACATTCCCTAGGTAAAGTTTATCCTACAGAAAGCTTATCTGCCTCCCGACATAGCTGTACCTTGCTATATATGGTGCAATTATTTTTTTGGCATATTAGGTACTTTCTCCTGGGAGCCCAGAATAAAGCCAGGTGCTCCAAGATGTACCGATACAAATTGCCAAGACATTGTCTCCAAATTTTTTCACTCCTTCAGTATTTTCATCTTCTTCCACCAGGCTGCAGGTGGTAAAATAACTGTACTGGTATATGTTTTCTTACTTCTAGTGAAGATGGGACACATTTTGTGTAGGGTCCTTCACTTAGCACTTCTCAATTAATGCTGCACAACAATGTATGCCTTCTATAAAAGACTGTGTCTAGTTTCCCTGAAAATATGGTAAATTGGGTGTCCAGCCCCCATTATTTCTGAGTTCTTTTTCCTGAGTTTTGCTGAGAAGATGAAGTCAAAACCATATTGTAGCACAAGTATTTCCTTCCTTCAGCTGAACCCGTCTCATGCTGCTGTAATACTGTTTTTCTAGATGGTTTCTGCAGCTTCCCTCCTCATTTGGACTGTGGGTTGAAGTCTACACTATTCTCTTGCAGGCCAGACTGCCCCTCTGGTGTTTGGAGTCTTCTCTGGGTTTTTCCCAGTTCCCATCAGCCTGCCAGTTTAACCAGCTCTCTGCAGGAATCAGAACTGAAAGAGAAATCAAACAATGGCTGCAGCAGCAGGGCTGTGAAAAGGCAGGGGTGAAGAGCTTGACCAGTTCTGCTGAGATGGAGCAGGGGCCACTCTGGGCCAGTGGCTCCCTGCGTGCTACTGAGTGTGTGCTACTATTTAATACAATTTAAATGTTAAATTAAATGGAAAGCTGATGCTACAGGTCTGTGGAAGGTTATGCCTTCCACACAAGGTCCTGCTGGGGGAGAGGCAGTTTGTGACACATCTGTGGATTAAAATCAAGTTAAACACCAATGCATCTTAATGGAACTACACTCAAACGAAGTTACTGTGAGCACACCTAGAAACAAATGAAGGAAAGGTTCCCCTCAAACCCTGCTACAGAAGACCAAAGAGGAAAAAAGGCTGATTCTCTTCCTAGCTGGGACAGAACAGCAAGAGAAAAGAAATGCCTCAGGTAAACAAGGATAATAGCGAGATATTGGTGAGTAGGAGACAGAAAATGAAAGTGCTGTCAGAGGTGTGAGCAAGAGTCCCAAAGTGCTGTATTTAATAATCCCTTGACATTTTCAGTTAGAAAGAACAAATGTTTGTGTACTGTGGCAAGGAGCTCTGGCAGTGAAATTGTGTTACTTATACATTATGCAAAAAAATGACAGTATGGGTATAGTGGATGTGGCAGAACATTAATCATTAGTGAAACAGATCAGAAGTACACATTGCTATCCAAGAAAGAAGGATATAAAATGTTATAGGAATTTCGTATAAACATTGTAATAACAAAAAGAATCAAAAGATACAAAAATTGTTTGAGTTAATAATGAGAAAAGGAAAGAAAAGCTGGCTTTTCTAAAGGTTTGTGAGGGACAAAAGGACTTGGAGGTGGTTATTAATGCCCATCCTTCCCAGAGACTTTAATTTCCTAGAAAGAGGCTGGTCTTTATCAGTGGGAGTATTTGCTGTCCTGCAGGCACCTTGGAAGTGTGAAGTGATGAATTCCTTCATTAAACACTCACTGAGCCAACAAGCAATCAGCCTACTTTCTAATTAGTGAAGGTGTCTCAGAAGGCCTGGCCATGGAAAGCAACCTTGATTGGATCAAACAAGATACTTCACCATAATTCAAATGGACACAGAAAAGGAGACAGTGATAAAGATTCTTGATTACAAATGGGAAATCTTTATTTTAAAAATTAAATAGTCAAGTGAACAGGGCTGGAGCAGCAGTGGATGGGGCTGAAGGCAGCTGGGAGCTAACATCTGCCACAGTGTGGGAGCCAGCATGAGAACGTGTATTTGGAACTGGAAAAATACAGTTTAGGAGGGCTCAGGGCTGGGCTGGGGGGCAACTGTTTGCAAATTCAGGGTGCTGGGGATGACCAAATGCTTTCAAACAGAGGAAAGATGAATCAGAATAAAACATCAATTCTTGGGAAGAAGAACATTTGGGGGAAGAGCTGGAATTGCCAAACCCCGTGCAGAGTTAGATATAAAAGCCAAAAACAAGACTTTTCAGCAATGTAGTTTAGAAAAGACAAGGAGAAGTGAGGTGGGAGTAGATAAAGGGCTTAGGGAGAGCTCTAAATAGGGGCTGTAGCAAAACACTCCAGAAGGCCACAATAGCAGACAGATAAAAAGGAGGAAGAACCTGAAGTGATGTCAAGAGTTTAATTGAGCACAGTTAAAGAAGGATGGATAATCTTTATCTGAGATGAAGACCAGCTATGAAAGTGCAGGGTGGGTAGCAAGGTTTGTTACCATACCCATGAGCTCACAGAGCAGCACACACCAAACAACTCCGTTTAAGGAGGGCACAGAGGACAGCAAGCAAAGGGCAGGGAACTAAGCAACTACAAGTCAGTTTTTATAGGTCTATTGATCCATAGGGTACCATGCTGTAGAAGAAATTTGGAAGGGGAAGTGTATCAAAGTAAATCAGATAATTGCAGGGAAGCCTGACCAAGGGAGAGGGTGCCAAAATCATCTGACATCTCTAGGCAAGAGAGAGGTAGAAGAGACCTCAGGTGAACTTCAGTGCTATTGAAGGAAAACACAGGAAGGAACTGCGAAGCACATAAGGAATTAGGAACACAAGAGACAACTGGCATGGGAGGAAGGGGACAGGCATGGACTACTGCAGCTCACCAAGGCTGAACCCAGAGAACAATCTCAATGCTTTTGCTAACAGTCTTTTCTAAAACCCAGGAATTTTCTGTTTTTCTCCATTGGGAGTCTCTAGTCCTGCTGAGGGGCAGAGAGATGGCACACAGAACTCCTCTGCCTGTGATCCTGAGTGGTATGGGAACACAGCGGAACATCTCTGGAGAAGATGCTGACCTGCATGTATGTATCTGATGAGCACATTCCTGGCACACTGAGAAATGTCCTATCCTCTCCTCCCACCTCCAAAAACGAGCAGGAGATGACTCACAGAGTGGCTTTCTCTGTATCTGGAGTGGACCAGGTTGGCCTTTCTCATATGATCAGCTCTGCCTGCGGCAGAGCGGCACCAGGCAGCCCGGGAGCCAAGTGCTGCCCTCATGCATTACATAATGCAGCATGTCACTGCTGCAGCCATTTCTTAGACTCACCACAGTATGACGTAGCGAGTAACACGCGGCAAAACACAGCTCCCAGTGGGAGAAAAAAACACATGCTGTGTGTATTCTCAAGGTATGGTTAATGAAATACAGCTCTCAGCATCTCCCGGGCTGCTGGCAGCTGCTGCATTATGAATGCTGTCACAGCTGCAAAAGAAGTACAGCTCTTTCTAAGGGCTTAATCTTCTCTTCTTTCTTTAAATCACTTGCATAGAAACACTTTGTAGACCTCCTTCTCACTGCTAGGCTGAAAATGTGAGAGCCAAGTCATGAGAAGCGATTTCCTGTCATAAACTCCTTTGCACGGAACAGAGCAGCAAATGCTGTATGGGCAATGGTGCAAGGCAGGTGCCATGCCCATGCTGCCAGGCCACTGCTGCCATCCTGGGGGACAGGCTCACCTGCTGAGCCAGAAACCTGTGAGGCCAAAGGCTCTTATGGTCTTCATAACATCACAGATACAAGGGCTGGACCTCAATCCACCCGGAGATGTTCCACCAGGTGACACCAGGTGGAACATCAACACACCAGCACATGCAGGGACCGATTCCCCCCAGCATCCCTGGTACCTGCCACATCCTACCAAGAGGCCATGCAGGGCTGCCCGTGGAGGCTGCTGACCTGGAAATCGTTGGGGGTGCAGAGGGGTGCAGGGGAAGCCCGGGGGGGTGTGGAGGGTGGCCCGGCGACCTCACCCTTCTTGAACTCCTCAAGCAGCGTGTCGAGGCGCGTGTCATTGAAGACGCAGTGGAGCGGGCGGCGGTAGAAGCGGGTGACAGTCTGCAGGGGAGTGCAGTCATCAGGGTCGACAAAGGCCAGGTCTTTGACAAAGAGCAGGTCGACAATGTTGTCGCGTCGGTCACCCTCATAGACTGGAATGCGGGTGTAGCCAGATCGGAGGATCTCAGAGACGGTGGCGAAGTCCAGCACAGCATCGGCCCGGAGCATGAAGCAGTCGGCCAGCGGTGTCAGCACATCCTCCACCACCTTGGTGCGTAGCTCCAGCGCGCCCTGCACCATGGCCAGCTCCTCCCGGACCAGGTCGCCGTGGGGGCCAGCGGCGCGCAGCGTCTCCAGCAGCCGCTCCCGCGTAGAGAAGACGCTGAGCTCCTGCCGCAGCGCCCAGTCCAGCAACCGGCTGAGCGGGTAGCACAGGGGGAAGGCGGCCAGCATCAGCAGCCGGGTGAGGCAGAGCGTGCGGGAGGCGATGGCCAGCCCGTGCCGCGAGCACACCGAGTAGGGCAGCACCTCTCCGCCCAGGAAGACGGCGGCGGTGCACAGCAGCACCGGCAGCCAGGGCGCTCCCCGCGGCCCGCCGGCCGCCGCCGCCGGCCCGCCGCCGGGCAGCGAGGCGCAGAGCCAGCCGGCCAGCGCCGCGTTGGCCCCCGCCTGCCCCAGCAGAAGCGTGCACAGCAGGTAGGTGCCGCCGCCGCCGCGCACCGCCTGCACCCGCCGCGCCTGCTCCCTCTCGGCGGCCGAGCCGCTGTTGCGCAGGACGCGGAGCTCCAGCGGGTCCAGCGAGAGCAGCGAGAGGCGCAGCCCGCTGAACAGCGCCGACAGCCCCAGCAGCAGCAGGGCGCCCAGCGCCCGCAGCCAGCCCGCCTCGGGCAGCGGCAGCAGCCAGGTGCCCAGCGGCGGGGCGGCCGGCCGCACCCGCAGCAAGAAGCCGCCCGCCGCACCGTGGTGCGCCCAGGCCCGCCCGTCCCAAGCGCACAGCGAGAAGAGCCGCCCGCCCGGCGCCGCCGCCGCCTCGCCCTTGCGCGGCTCCCGCACCCGCACCTCGGCCAGCGCCGAGCCCGCCGCGCCGCCCGAGCGCAGCGGCCCCACCACCTCCACGTCCGAGGCCCAGGCGCTGCGCTCCCGGCACCGCTCCGCCGGGCCCCGCGTCGCCGTGCTCCCCGCCGCCGCCTCTTCGATGAAGACCAGCCGCGGCTCCCGCTCCCCCGCCGGCCCGCGGCTGCCGTTGCCCTCGGGCGGCGGCTGGAAGTAGAGGCGCAGGAGGAAGCGGCTGCCCTCCGCCGCCTGCACCGCGCCGCCCTCCAGAGACACCCGGCCCGGCGTCGTGTCCTCGGGCCGCAGCCCCAGCAGCCAGGCGGCCCCGGCCGGCGGCCGCGGCGACAGCGAGAAGAAGAGCAGCAGCACGGCGCCCCGGCTCCGGCCCCAGCCGCCGCCGCCGCCGCCGCCGCGCCCCGGGCCCGCCGCCGCCGCCATGCCGCTGTGCCGGCACCGCAGCGCCCGCCCGCCGCCCCGGGACTGCAGCGGGGAGCCGGCACGGCACGGCACCGCGCGGCACGGCACCGCGCGGCGGCACACGTGGGCCGGGGGGCGGGCGGCCGCCGCGCCACGTGCGACCGGGAGCCGGCCTGCGGCGCCCCGGCGGGAGGGGCCGGCGGAGCGGGGCCGCCAACCGGCACCGCCGGCCGGGACGGTACGCGGGGGACCGAGGAGTTCGCCCACCCGCCCCGTGCGGGAGCATCCCCGCGGCGGGCGGCACCGCGCGCTCTCCGCACCTGGTGAGATGCTGGCGGATCCACGCCGCAGCAGACTCGCGGTGATGCGGGGCAGCCCCCGCCCCTGGCAGCCAGAGAGGGCTGCGGGCCGAACAGCGAGCTCTGCCCGCCGAACAGCGAGCTCTGCCCGCCGAACAGCGAGCTCTGCCCGCAGAACAGCGAGCTCTGCCCGCCGAACAGCGAGCTCTGCCCGCAGAACAGCGAGCTCTGCCCGGCCAGCCGCGGCCGCGCTGGCTCCCGGTGTCATCCCAGGTACAGGTCTGTGGGGCGCGGGGCGGGGGCTGCGCCTCCCCTGCACTGTGGCTCGGGGTTTGCTGAGGGATTTCTGCCACCACTCTCTGGAGCTGGAATTTGCATTCAGCCTCCCTCTGTTATCTGTCGAGGCCCTACTCTTCAGCTTTGCAGTTAAAATTAATTTCCCTTCTTTCCCGTGGGAGTGGTTTGATTTTTTTGTTTGTTTGTTTGGGTTTTTTTTTTAATGGGGGGTGGCTAGTCATTAGATTTGCAGTCTTTCTAGGAAACAAATGTACCACACTGTAGCTACATTTATTCTCCTGTCTAGACCTGATGGGGAATGTTGCTAGGGTTTATCAGCTTCAGAAATATGTGTTCAAGAATGTACTTAGGGGACTCCTTAAACTTATGTGTCTTCCCTGGACCAACTTTCATGACAAACTTGAAATGAGGCCGGAGAACTGGAAAGCAGTTGCTTACAACTGCAACAGGCTCAGCAGCGGCAAAGCAAGAATCTAGAAAATGTCATGGAGGCAAAGGAAGTGCCCGAAAAATTCTGATTATTCACTCATTATTGCTCCCATGAAAATAGGTCACTTTCTGTGTCGGTATGTCAGCAGGCAGACAGGCATGAAAGCTACCAGGGGGATCTGTGCTCCTTTTTGTGTTATGAGAGACTCTTCTCTCTCTCCCTCTGGGGGAGGCAGCTATTTTTTTTTTTCCCCAAATGAGATGAATTCACTGTGTGTTCATAGGGGCTGTGTGCTATTTTACAAGCCCTTCCTGATCATCCACTTTCTAACTACCCTTTAGTACCACTGGGGAGATATTACCTGGTGTTCTACGTGGGCATGATTGATGAAGGAGCCACCTGGTAAGCTACGTTTACAGACCTTGCCCCAAGTTGTGCTGCCTGAGGGACGGATCTCACAAGCTGCCCTAAGCAGTACCCAGAGTGACTCGGGACCAGCACAGCCTGCTCCTGCCTTCCTGTCTGCAAGGTGGGGGATGAGCACATGGCTGCTCCTTCTTTATTAGGACCTTGTGGGAACTGGGAACTACTGTTTGAGATCATCCCATATTTTAGCAGTGGCAGGCTGTCATCAGCCCTGAATTTCTTGCAGACTTCTTGGTGCTGAGAATATTGTAAAGACTGTCTGGTTTTGTGCCATTGCGTTTTGTATTGCTGTTTAGGAGCTGTGTACCCATGGCAGTAGTTAGTAGTGTTTACTAACTTGCAGGTTAGATTCCTGAAAGGTTTTCTAGTGATAAGTTTCTCAGCATAGGAACTGAAGACTGAATTACAGACGTGCTTTTTTTTTTTTTTTTT